CGTGTGCACCTTGGAGTCCTTCCTGGCTTCTGGTGACCTAAGACAGGCATGGTCAAACTTGGACTGGGTGGCCCAGAGGTCTCTTCCAACCCTAGCATTCTTTGATTGTAATGGAACTTAGTTGAGTCCTGGCTTCCTTGTGGACATGAGATCAGTGAGCTTGTTGTTGTGTGCCTTTGAGTCCTTCCTGGCTTCTGGTGACCCTAAGGCAAGAATGGCCAAACTTGGACCGGGTGGCCCGGAGGTCTCTTATAGAATCATAGAGTTGGAACAGACCTGGTGGGCCATCATCTAGTCCAACCCCATTCTGCCAAGAAGCAGGGGAATCACGTTCAAAGCACCCCCGACAGATGGCCACCCAGCCTCTGCTTAAAAGCCTCCATAGAAGGAGCCTCCACCACACTCCAGGCAGAGAGTTCCACTGCTGAACAGTTCTCATGGTCAGAAAGTTCTTCCTAATGTTCAGGTGGAATCTCCTTTCGCGTAGTTCTTCCAATCCTAGGATTCTTTGGTTGTAATGGAACTTTGATTGGTCCAGGCTTCCTTGTGGACATGAGACCTGTGAGCTTGTGATAGTTGTTGTGTGTGCACCTTTGAGTCCTTCCTGGCTTCTGGTGACCCCAAGGCAGGCCTGGCCAAACTTGGACCGGGTGGCCCGGAGGTCTCTTATAGAATCATAGGGTTGGAAGTGACCTGGGGGGCCATCATCCAGGCCAACCCCATTCTGCCAAGCAGGACAGTCACATTCAAAGCACCCCTAACAGATGGCCACCCAGCCTCTGCTTAAAAGCCTCCATAGAAAAAACCTCCACCACACCTTGGGGCAGAGAGTTCCACAGCTGAACAGCTCTGACGGTCAGAAAGTCCTTCCTAATGTTCAGGTGTAATTCTTCCAACCCTGGCATTCTTTGATTGTGATGGAACTTAGTTTAGTCCTGGCTTCCTTGTGGACGTGTGGTCACTGATCTTGTGATTGTTGTTGTGTGTGCGCCTTTGAGTCCTTCCTGGCTTCTGGTGACCCCAAGGCAGGCCTGGCCAAACTTGGACCGGGTGGCCCGGAGGTCTCTTATAGAATCATAGGGTTGGAAGTGACCTGGGGGGCCATCATCCAGGCCAACCCCATTCTGCCAAGCAGGACAGTCACATTCAAAGCACCCCTAACAGATGGCCACCCAGCCTCTGCTTAAAAGCCTCCATAGAAAAAACCTCCACCACACCTTGGGGCAGAGAGTTCCACAGCTGAACAGCTCTGACGGTCAGAAAGTCCTTCCTAATGTTCAGGTGTAATTCTTCCAACCCTGGCATTCTTTGATTGTGATGGAACTTAGTTTAGTCCTGGCTTCCTTGTGGACGTGTGGTCACTGATCTTGTGATTGTTGTTGTGTGTGCGCCTTTGAGTCCTTCTTGGCTTCTGGTGACCCCAAGGCAGGCCTGGCCAACTTGGACCAGGTGGCCCAGAGGTCTCTTCCAACCCTAGCATTCTTTGATTGCAATGGAACTTAGTTTAGTCCTGGCTTCCTTGTGAACATGAGGTCAGTGAGCTTGTTGTGTGTGTGCCTTTGAGTCCTTCCTGGCTTCTAGTGACTCTAAGGCAGGCATGGACCAACTTTGGCCCTCCCTCCAGATATTTTGGATGGTGGGAGTCCAAAACACCTGGGCTGAAGTTGGCCCATGTCTGCCCTAAGCTGAACCCCTCACTGCCTGGTTTCATTACTGAAAGCAGTCCACAAGGCTGTCTCTTGGGGTTTGCGCTAAGCAGGCCTGGGCCTGGCCGGGACAATGCACGCACTCCGAAGGAGAGGGAGAGCTGTCCCAGCCTTGAGGACCTTGGACTTCCCAGCCAAGGCTCCTCCGTAAGGGTGGAGAGGTGGTCTCCTTCCCCTTGGATCCCCCTGTGTGTCCTTCACTGCTGGGAAGGAGAAGGGCAGTCAAGAGGTGCAATTAAAGAACTGCGTTGTGGTTGGTTTTCCGGGCTATATGGCCATGTTCTAGAAGCATTCTCTCCTGACCTTTCGCCTGCATCTATGGCAAGAGGTTGTGAGGTCTCATCTTGGACTGCACTCGTCTTGGGGCCTTGTTCACACCTCAGGTGGCTTTCCTCAAGGTGGAAGCAAAATGCAGACACACACACACACACACACACACACACACCCGGTGCATGCTCCCCCCTTGGAAGCCAAGACAAGGGATATCAGATGTGATGGCCTGGCCTGAAGGCATCCTTCCCCACACAACACCGCAAGGGGAAAAGTCCTGTTCCTCGGGGCGCCCTCCCTGGCACACTTCTTCTCTTTATGGGATGGGCCTTCAGCCATGGTGCCCCATTGTTCTTAAGCAGCAGCCCTCCAATCCATCCCCTCACCCTTTCCCCAAAGGAAGGCACAACTGCATTCAGTCCTTTACAAATGAAGGTGGGGAAGCTCTGTCCTGGGGGGTGGGGTGGGTGAGAGAGAGACCCCAGCAGAAGAAGGGGCTGCTATTTGGGGGGGGGGGGTGGAATGTCCATCTGCCCCACTGGTGGTGCACATGAAGAAGGAAGTGTAACTGCACCTCCCTTTCCCTGCCTGGGGAGGGGGTCTCACCCACCCACCCACCCCCCCTTTCCTTTCTTGGCCTTGCTGGTCTCTCTGGGGCAATTGGGTACTCAAAGGGAGGGGTGGAAGGGGGGTGGGTCTTCCTGATTGGGGGGCAAATCCCATTTGGGGAGGGGGGGTGCCTTTCTCGTGCGTGTGTATGTGCGGAGGGAGAACAATGAGCCCGGGAGCCTTGCTTTCCTTTGTTTAGGAGAGGGGAGGCGGCAGAGGGGCCCGGCCCACCCCTTCTCTCTCTCTCTCTCCAAGGTCTAGAGGGGGGGGGGTCATGTGGTATCACACACCCCCCAAATCAAGCCAACAACCCCAAATGTCCCTTTTTTTTGAAGAGGGAGTACTGTTGTATTGTGCCCCCCAAACAAGCAGCCCCCCCCAAATAGTCCCTTTCTTCTCAGCCAATAGACCCCCCCCCAAGCCCAAGGAGACAAAGAAGAGTAGTCTTTGCTTCTGACTGCAATGTTCTTATTGGGGGGGGGGAGCCCTCAACAAAGAGGGGGGAGAAGAGAAGAGCAGAGACACGCCCCCTTTCTCCGTTTTCTCTCTCTCTTTCGGGGGGGTGAACTCTAAGTGACTTTGGGAGGGAGCTTGGCGAAGGGGACCCCCCCTCCACTCGGGTATGGCCAAGTCCAAGGGCCCCCCTTCCTGGCCCCCTTTGGATGCCGGGACCCCCTTTGGCAAGGCAGGGACCCCCTTTGGCAAGACAGCCGGAGCTTTGCGACCAGGAACCACACCCCCTTCTGCTCCCCTCCCTCCCTCCTTTCTTTCTTTCTTTCTTCCTGCACAACAAAAGCCAAGGCTGAGACCCCCAGTCTCAAGCAGGTGGGACCCCTTTCCTGGGGCCAAAGGCAGGCAGGCAGGGAAGGAGGGAGGGAGGGAGCCACAACAACAACAACGATAACAACAACAACAGGCAGCCCCCAGAGACGCAGACAGGGAGGGAAGGGGCGGGAAGCAGGGCCAGACAAAGAGGCAGGGAGGGAGGGAGAAAGAAAGAGGAAGGAAAGAAGGAAGGAAGAGGGAAAGAAAGAGGGGAGAGGAGGAAGAGGGAGTGTAAGAAGGAAGGAAGGCAGAGGGGAGGGAAAGAAAGAAAGAAGGGAAGGGAGGAAGCAGGAAAAGAGAGCAAGAGAAGGAAGGAAGAGGGAAAAGAGTGAAAGAGGAAAGGAAGAGAGAAGGAAGGTGGAAGAAAAAGAAGGGGAAGGAAGGATGAGAGAGAGGAAGGAAGGAAGAGGGAAAGAAAGAGGGAAAAGGAGGAAGAGGGGGTGTAAGAAGGAAGGAAGGCAGAGGGGAGGGAAAGAAAGAAAGAAAAGAGAGAAGGGAGCATGAAAAGAGAGAGAGAGAAGGAAGGAAGAGGGAAAAGAGGAAGAAGGTAGAAAGAGTGAAGGAGGAAGGAAGAGGGAAAGAAGGGGGGAAAGGAGGAAGGGGGAGGTAGGAAGCTTGGCAGAGGGAAGAGGCATAAAGAAAGAAGACAGGAAAGAGAGAAGGGATGAAGAGGGGAAAGAGAGTGAAAGAAGAAAGGGAGAAAGAGAAAGAAGGAAGAGAGAAAGGAAAAGGATGGAAGAAAGAGGAAGAGAGAGAGAAAGAAGGTAGACAGAAAAAAGAAGGGAGAGGATGGAAGGAAGGGGGAAGAGAAGGAAAAGAGAAGAAGGAAGAGGGGGAAGAAGAAGGAGAGGGAAGAGGCAGAAAGAAAGGAAGAGGGAAGAGAGAAGGAAGAGGAAGAGAGAGAAGGGAGGAAGAGGGGGAAGAAGGAAGAAAGGGAGAGAAGGAAGGTAGAAAGAGAAAAGAAGGGAAGAGAGACGGGAAAAGGAGGGAAGAGAGAGGAAAAGAGAGAGAAAGAAGGTAGACAGAAAAAAGGAGGGAAGAGAGAGGATGGAAGTAAGGGGGAAGAGAAAGAAGGTACAAAGAGAGAAGGAAGAGGGAAAGAAAGAGGAAAAGGAGGAAGAGGGGAGGAGGGAAAGGAAGAGAGGGAAGAGGAGAAAGAGAGAAGGAAGAGGGAAAGAGAGAGAAGGAAGAGAGGGGGAAGGTGAAGGAAGAAGGGAGAGAAGGAAGCTAGAAAGAGAAAAGAAGGGAAGAGAGAAGGAAAGAAGCTAGACAGGAAAAAAGAAGGGGCCAAAGAGAGAAGTGACAAAGAAAGAAGCAAGGGAGAGAGGTGGGGGGCGAGGAAGGTGTGGAGGGGAGGCAGGTGCTCCTTGTGTTGCCTGCCCGGCGTGGTGGTGTTGTTGTTGTTCCAGGGCCGGGAGACAAAGGCCTGCTTGCTGCCGGGTGTGTGGCTGTGACTGTGGCTGCGAGGGGGAGTGGCGCTTCTCCTCCTCCTCCTCCTGCTTCCCTTCCTAGACAAAGGCTGGCTGCCTTTCCCTGGGGTTCCCCTCTCCCTCTCCCTCTCTCCCGTCGCGTGGGGTCCCGTGGGCTCACCTTGCCTCCCGACGATCTCGGCCACGTGCTCGGAGCTGGGCACCGGGACGCACTCGGTGGTGTTGGAGCTGCTCTTGAGGCGCAGCTCGGCCTCCTTGTAGAGCACGCACAGCTTCCCGGCCTCCCCCGAGGAGGGGGCGGCGGCGGAGGAGGAGGAGGGGGTGGCTCCGGCCCCGGGCGTGTTGCAGGGCGGCGGGGGCGGAGGGGGCGGCGGCGGCGGAGGGGGAGGAGGGGGCGGCGGGGGAGGGGGCGCCGGGAGCACCGACACCGAGGAGGAAGAAGAGGAGGAGGAAGAGGAAGACGAGGAGGAGGAAGGCGAGGGGGTGGGCCCCTTGGGGGCGGAGAGGGGGGTGTCGTCCCCGGCCAGGGCAGCCACTGCGTTCCCGGCCGCCGCCAGCACGGCCCCGGAGACGACGGGCTCGGCCAGTCCGAGGAGGCAGAGCTGGTCGAGGGCCATCTGCAGCGCCCGCTCGTCCTCCAGCAGCGCCCGCTCCTTGCTGCCGCCTCCTCCGCTTACAACGCTGATTCCTCCGCCGCTGTTGCTGCTCCCGCCGCCGCCGCCGCCGCCTCCGTTGCTGCTATTGCTGCTCCCTCCGCTGCTGCTGCTGCTGCCACTGCTGCTCCCCGGGAAGCAGCCCAGGTCCCCGAAGCCCCCGTTCCGTTCCATGATCCCCGACACGACCAGGCTCGGCATGGCGAACCGGGCAAAGGGGGGAGCTGGGACGTGGAGGGTGAGCTCCAGCAGGAGAAGGAGAAGGAGAAGAAGGAAGGAGGAAAGGGGGCGGGGAAGGAACAAAGAGGGGAAGCCCAGCAAGGAGAAGAAGGGGCACAAAGAGAGAGAGGGAAGAGGGAGGGGATAGAGAGAGGGGGGAGAAGACCCCCGCCCACCTGCCGGCCCCTCCTCCTCTTCTTCCTCCTCCGGCACACAAAGCCTCCCTCCTTTCTTGGAGGAAAGAGAAGAAAGGGAAGGAGAGAGGGGAGGAGGAGGAGGACTCCACCGCCGCCGAACGAGAAGCCCCCTCTCTCTCTCTCTCTCTCTGGGAGGGGAGAAGACCCCCGCCCACCTACTGGCCCCTCCTCTTCTTCTTCCTCCTCCTCCGACACACAAAGCCTCCCTCCTTTCTCGGCGGAGGAAAGAGAAGAAAGGGAAGAGGAGAACCGAGGAGAAGGACCCCTCTTCCTCTCTCTCTCTCTCTCTCTCTCTCTCTCTCTGGGAGGGGAGAAGACCCCCGCCCACCTACCGGCCCCTCCTCCTCTTCCTCTTCTTCCTCCTCCTCCAGCACACAAAGCCTCTCTCCTTTCTCGGCGGAGGAAAGAGAAGAAAGGGAAGGAGAGAACCGAGGAGGAGGAGGAGGAGGAGGGCCCCTCTTTCTTTCCCTCTCTCTCTCTCTCTCTCTCTCTGGGAAAGAAGGGGGCGCGGCCGGCGGCGCAGACAAAAGCCGGAGCCGCACAAAGAGAGAGAGCCCGGCCGGGTCTCCTCCGCCAAGGAAGGAAAAAGGGAGGGAATGAGAGAGAGAAAGAGAGAAAGGAAGGAAGAGGGAGGCTCTTGCCTTGCCCAGCCCACCCCCCTCCGGCTGCAGATAGGGAGAGAAAGAGAGAGAGAGAGAGAAAGCCCCGGGGTCTGATGGGGGATGGAGTCCTCCTCCTCTTCCTCCTCTAGTGACAGGCACGCCCCCTTCCCCACTCCGAGGAGAGAGAGAGAGAGAGAGAGACCCCTTTGGGAGGGGGGAGCAGGGACCAGGAAAGAGCCCCCCACCCCAAAAAAGATGCTCTCCCAACCAAGCCCGGGATCCCCAGCCTTCCCAAACACCACAATCCAAGCAGCAAACAAAGGACACCCAGGGCTGCCTTCTTGAAGGTTTTTTCTGCTCTAGAAGCATTCTCTCCTGACGTTTTGCCTGCATCTCTGGCAGGTATCATCCTCAGAGGTTGGGAGGTCTCTTGGAGGTCCACAAAGTATGTTGTCGAAGGCTTTCGTGGCTGGAACCACTGGGTTGTAGGTTTTTTGGGCTGTATGGCCATGTTGGAAGAGACCTCATGAGGTTATCTATGCAGATAACCTCACTGATTGACTTTGCAAACGTCACGGCTACTCAGTGGTATTCAAGCTTCCTAATTGCAACATTCACACTGGCTTTAAGCAGACACGGGTCCGACATTATTCCACAGGTATACACTCCACTTGCTTCACTTCCAACAGACCTCTGAAGATGCCGTTAGCCCAAACGTCAGGCGAGAATGTAGCTGGAACTTTCTGGGGAATGGACTCTTGGGAAGGCCCTGCAAAGGTTGCAGGATGTTGAGAGACCAGGTTGCTGTGTGTTTTCCAGGCTGTCTGGGCCCAGAAAACACACGGCAACCCGGTCTGCCAACATCTTGCAACCTGTGCAGGCCTTCCCAAGAGTCCGTTCCCCAAAAAGTTCCTTGCCCCAAAGTGGAGGGGATGGCTGCCCTTGCCCTCCTCTCGTGGCATCCAACCTGGCCGGGGCTGTCCCTTGAAGGCTGTCCTTTCCACCTCCCCAGGATCCCATGCCAGGGGTCCATCCCAAGGTCTTACGAGAGGGGTCCAAGGAGGCACCCAAAGGAAGGCTGGGCTGCCTTTGAGGGAAGAGCCCTCTGTAAAGGCGGGTAAAACTACTGCCAGAATCAATAACCCCCTGTAGTTTTATCACTACCGGGTCCTTTCCTGTAACCCCTTTGGTCACAAATAAACTCCCTGAATCTCCACCCAGAGATTCAGTCTTCCCCGTAGCTCACAGGCTTACAGACTGCCACTTTCAAACAGCTGCCCTGTGAAGAGGCAGTTGTTTCCACCCCCGTTGCATCCAACCTGGCCAGGGCTGTCCCTTGAAGGCTGTCCTTTCAACTTCCCCAGGATCCCATGCCAGGGGTCCATTCCCAAGGTCTTATGAGAGGGGTCCAAGGAGGCACCCAAAGAAAGGCTGGGCTGCCTTTGAGGGAAGAGCCCTCCAAGGACAAATGCAAGGTCCTCCACTTAGGCAGAAGCAAGGACATGCAAAGGTACAGTGTGGGCGACGCCAGGCTCCACCACAGAGTCACAAGTGAGAAAGATCTTGGAGTCCTTGTGGACAACAAGTTGAACATGAGTTAACAAGGAGAGGCAGCAGCTCAAAAAGCCAATGGGATTCTGGGCTTCATCCAAAGGATTCTGGTGTCTAGATTAAGGGAAGTCCAAGTGCCTCTCTCTTCTGTTTTGGTCAGACCTCTTCATCTGGGATCACACTGAGTCCAGTTCTGGACACCACCGTTTAAAGAGATACTGACTCTTAGCTGGAAGGGGTCCAGAAGAAGAAGGCAACTCAAATGATCCACGGTCTGGAGACCACGAATGCCTGTGAGGAGCGTCTTGAAGAGCTGGGTCTGTTTAGCCTGCAGAAGAGAAGGTTGTGAGGAGCCGTGAGAGCCATGTTTCAATATCTGAAAGGATGTCCTAAGGGAGAGGGAGCAGGCCTTCCTTTCTGCTGCCCTGGAAACTAGGACTCAGTAGAGCCATGGGTTCAAATGACAGGAAAGGAGATTCCACCTCAACATCAGGAAGAACTTCCTGACCATAAATGTGGCACTCTCAGCCTCGGAGTGCGGTGGAAGCTCCTTCCTTGGAAGCTTTTCAACGGAAGTTGGATGGCCATCTGTCAGGGGGACTTTGATGGTGCTTTTCCTGGACTAGGTGGCCCATGGGGTCTCTTCCAACCCTATTATTCCATGAATCCCACAGAACATCCCTAGGCCCATGCCTGTTCTGAACGATGGCCCTTGGAAGACAAAGAGGGGGAGGAGGGCTCTCCCTCCCTGGTCATCTTCAAGGAAGGAGCTGGACAGCTCCCAGCTGCTAGAGCTGCTTCAGCCGGAGGTGAGGCCATGCTCTGTCCCTGACCTCGCCGTCCTCACTCCCCCCAAACCTACCCAGGAAGAGAGAGGCCTTGCTGCCTCGGCAGTTGGGAGAATGACATCTCCATCAGGTTTGAGGGTTACATCTCAGCAAAGGATAATAAGAGGGATCCTCCAACCACGGCAGGAGCCGACTCTATACTGTCAGGAGCAGGATTCAAAACGATCTTGACAGATTAGAGAGATGAAGGGCAAAAACTAACAAAATGAAGTTCAACAGGGATAAATGCAAGAGACTCCACTTAGGCAGAAAAAACAAAATGCAAAGAGACAGAATGGGGGGCGATGAGGCCTGGCTCGAGAGCAATCAATTTTTTTGAGTGAAGGACATACATTGGGTTGTTAGGTGTCTTGTGCCCAAATTTGGTGTCAATTCGTCCAGTGGTTGTTGAGTTCTGTTAATCCCACAAACGAACATTACATTTTTATTTATATAGATTTATACATTACTAGCTGTCCCCTGCCAGGCGCTGCTGTGGCCCAGTCTGTTGATCTGGAAAATAAAGTAATGAGAAAGTGTTGGTTTCTAATATCTGTCATGTCTTTCTGCTTGTGGGTAAACAGTATTTCTTGCTGTTTCTTTGTCAGTGTGGATGTGGAGAGTGTCTGGTTTGCCTACTCTGGAACATGCAACATATCATAGTCCTTCTTTAGGGGTCCCTTTCAAATCTATGATACTATATTTATGTGTGTGTGAATCATATCTATCTCTCTATATCTATGGCTGGATGGCTCTTTGTCAGGAGGGCTTTGATTACGTTTCCTTGCCCTGATGAAGAGAGTTGGATTGGATGGCCTTAAGTATTTTCTGTTAGTCATGGGGGTTCTGTGTGAGAAGTTTGCCCCAATTCTGTCGTTCATGGGTTCAGAATGCTCTTTGATTGTAGGTGAACTGTGAATTCCAGTGACTACAACTCCCAAATGTCAAGGTCTATTTCCCCGAAACTCCATCTGTGTTCATATTTGGGCGTATTGAATGCTTGTGCCAAGTTTGGTCCAGAGCCATCATTGTTTGAGTCCACAGTGCTCTCTGGATGTAGGTGAACTACAACTCCCAAACTCAAGGTCAATGCCCACCAAACCCTTCCAGTATTTTCTGTTGGTCATGGGAGTCCTGTGCCAAGTTTGGTTCAATTCCATCGTTGATGGAGTTCAGAATGCTCTTTGAATGTAGGTGAACTATAAATCCCAGCAACTACAACTCCCAAATGACAAAATCATAATTTTTGAGTGATGGTCACTCCTTGTGTTGTGAGACGTTTTGTTACCAATTTTGGTGTGATTCCGTTCATTGGTTCTTTTGTTTTTAAGGTACTCATTATGCACAGAGCATTTATATATATATATAGATTTTAGTAGTTATACACTATTCTAAGTCTTTATAAACCCTCCCCACGCACTTAGACACTACATAACCCTCTTTGAAAGTGTTGTTCCCGTAATCCTTGGCTCCGTCTTGATCCACAGAGGCAGCCTCTCCGTGCAGACAAACGCTCTTAAGTCCATATTGAAAAACCGCGAAACAGCGAGTCTGCGAGAAGCGAACCGCGAAGTCGCGAGGGAAAACTGTATTTGCCTTTTCCTTGGCTTTCGTAATACATTTTTCAATGGTAAAGAGACTTTCTGGACACCCTGGCCGGAGTATTTATTTATTTATTTATCGTGTCATCCGCAACCAGAACATTGTATTTCATTTCTAACAGAACAAAACAAGCAAACAGATAAAAAACAAAACAAAACAAAAACAAAAAAAACACAAATTTTGCAAACTTGGTAGTTGATTAAATGTCCTTTGCCCAGTCTCTGGCCCCTTGGAGTGCCTCTGGTGTTGCCGCAAGGAGGTCCTCCCTTGTGCATCATGTGTCAGGGCTCAGGGTGCATTGCAGCAGGTGGTCAGTGGTTTGCTCTTC